CACGCCCTGGTGGCGTTTGAAAAGCGGGGCTAAGCTCACAAAAAGGAGACAAAGCGGATAGGGGGATGGTGGCACTTGTGGAGACAGGTTTTTCTTCTTCAGGAGGGTAGTTTGTCGAATCAAAGTTGCATGCGTTTTTCCCGAATGCGTAGCAAGGGTTCCCGTTTCACTCTGGGGGTCTGGTAGTTGAGAGTGTGTTCGCTCGACGTTGCGTTTACGGTCGCAATCGTCCGCATCCGTCCGCAACCGTCCGCAACTGTCCGCAACCATCTGCAACCGTCCGCAACCGTTCGCAACCGTCCGCGTGAGGCCCGTATGGCCGTGCCTATGGCAAGTTCTGCAAAAGTGGTCACTCCTGGAGGTTTCAAATGTCGCGTAGCTTCGTTTCGCGTTGCAGGCGTGGCACTTTGTGACATTCCAACATGTTTCATAACGTGTCCAAAGTTGCGCAGGCGCAATACTTTTGCGACGTTTTCAGAGCTCGTTTTTTACGAATCGCATTGTCAGGGCTGCGTCAAGTGGTGACAACGTGCAAATTCCGTGGCAGAAATGCGTTTTGTGAGATGTGCTAAAAATTAGCGGAAGCCTCGGGCAGCAAATTTTGAGGTTCATAAGAAAACTCGTAGGAAAACATCGATTTTGAAGCTGCAAAGTGTGAAAATTGGAGGAAGTCTCGCACGAAATGTTCGTTTTGATGCTCCAGCATGTCTCGTCTCGAGCCTCTGGTTTTCTTGTGGCATCGCCGTAACTTTGGGGGAAGCTGCAAAACCTATCCTCCTGCGTCAAGGTGTCAAAGCAGGTTGTAATGTCGTTTCGAGTGGCAGGCGTGGCACTTCCTGACGTTTTCACGTGTCAGCACTTTACACTTTACACTCCACACTCTACACTCCACACTCTACACTTTACACTCCACACTTTACACTTCACACTCTACACTCCACACTTTACACTTTACACTCCACACTTTACACTCCGCACTTTGCAGTCCACACTTTACACTTTACACTCCGCACTTTACACTTTACACTCCACAATTTTCTCTCCACACTGCAGACTGCAGACTTTACACTCCACACTTCACACTTCACACTGTACACTCCACACTTTACACTTTGCACTCTACACTTTACACTTTACACTCCGCACTTGACACTTTACAGTCCACGCTTTACACTTTACACTTCACACTTTACACTGTACACTCCACACTCCACACTTTACACTTTACACACTCCACACTTTAGACTTTACACACTCCACACTTTCCACTTTACACTCCACACTCTACACTCCACACTCTAGACTCCACACTCCACACTACACTTTACACTTTACACTCCGCACTTTACACTCCACACTTTACACTTCGCACTTTACACTTTACACTCCACACTCCACACTTTACACTTTACACACTCCACACTTTAGACTTTACACACTCCACACTTTCCACTTTACACTCCACACTCTACACTCCACACTCTAGACTCCACACTCCACACTACGCTTTACACTCCGCACTTTACACTCCACACTTTACACTTCGCACTTTACACTTTACACTCCACACTTGACACTTTGCAGTCCACGAGAAAATGGGATACCGCTCCCTGCCGCCGACCCTGGATGGTTCGGAGCATTGCGCTATGAACTTTGCAGTCTTTGTAAATATCCTCGGTCTGCAGCCATTTCAAAGAGAGCATGACAGTCCTTTTGCGTCAGCGCACTTGATTGCAATGGCGTTGGTTTCAGAGGCTGGAAATGCTCGCGGGAACAGAATGGTATCCCCGGTACCTAACAATGCTTTCTGATTCGAAGAAAACAAGGTCCAGAATGGTATCCCCAAGATGCCAAAAAAGGCGCCCGTAAAACACCAGAACACCATGCCAGGAGGTGCCCGAAGGCCCCGAATCATGGACACCGCCGGTGCCTAACGTTGCTTTCTGATTCGAAGGAAACAAGGTCCAGAATGGTATCCCCAAGATGCCACAAAACGCGCCCGTAAAACACCAGAACACCATGCCAGGAGGTGCCCGAAGGCCCCGAACCATGAACGCAGCCGGTGCCTAACGTTGCTTTCTGATTCGAAGGAAACAAGGTCCAGAATGGTATCCCCAAGATGCCACAAAACGCGCCCGTAAAACACCAGAACACCATGCCAGGAGGTGCCCGAAGGCCCCGAACCATGAACGCAGCCGGTGCCTAACGTTGCTTTCTGATTCGAAGAAAAAAAGGTCCAGAATGGTATCCCCAAGATGTTAAAAAACGCGCCCGTAAAACATCAGCACAGCCCGAAGGCGCCGGACCATGGACACGGCTGGTGCCTAACGTTGCTTTCTGATTCGAAGAAAACAAGGTCCAGAATGGTATCCCCAAGATGCCACAAAACGCGCTCGTAGAACACCAGAACACCATGCCAGGAGGTGCCCGAAGGCCCCGAACCATGAACGCGGCCGGTGCCTAACGTTGCTTTCTGATTCGAAGAAAAAAAGGTCCAGAAATTGCATCCCCAGGGCCGGTGCCTAACGTTGCTTTCTGATTCAAAGAAAACAAGGTCCAGAATGGCATCCCCAAGATGCCAAAAAACAAGCCCCTACCGCACCAGAACACCATGCCAGGAGGTGCCCGAAGGCCACGAACCATGGACACTGTCGGTGCCTAACGTTGCTTTCTGATTCGAAGAAAAAAGGTCCAGAATGGTATCCCCAAGATGCCAAAAAACGCGCCCGTAAAACACCAGAACACCATGCCAGGAGGTGCCCGAAGGCCCCGAACCATGGACACGGCCGGTGCTTAACGTTGCTTTCTGATTCGGGGAAAACAAAGCCCAGAATGGCATCCCCAAGATGCCAAAAAACGTGCCCGTAAAACACCAGAACACCATGCCAGGAGGTGCCCGAAGGTCCCCAACCACGGACGCAGCCGGTGCCTAACGTTGCTTTCTGATTCGAAGAAAACAAGGTCCAGAATGGTATCCCCAAGATGTTAAAAAACGCGCCCGTAAAACATCAGCACAGCCCGAAGGCGCCGGACCATGGACACGGCTGGTGCCTAACGTTGCTTTCTGATTCGAAGAAAACAAGGTCCAGAATGGTATCCCCAAGATGCCACAAAACGCGCTCGTAGAACACCAGAACACCATGCCAGGAGGTGCCCGAAGGCCCCGAACCATGAACGCGGCCGGTGCCTAACGTTGCTTTCTGATTCGAAGAAAAAAAGGTCCAGAAATTGCATCCCCAGGGCCGGTGCCTAACGTTGCTTTCTGATTCGAAGAAAACAAGGTCCAGAATGGCATCCCCAAGATGCCATAAAAGGCGCCCGTAAAACACCAGAACACCATGCCAGGAGGTGCCCGAAGGCCCCGAACCATGAACGCCTAACGTTGCTTTCTGATTCGAAGAAAACAAGATCCAGAATGGCATCCCCAAGATGCCAAAAAACAAGCCCCTATAGTATTCCGCAGCAGAACACCATGCCAGGAGGTGCCCCAAGGCCCCGAACCATGGACACGGCCGGTGCATAACGTTGCTTTTTGATTCGAAGAAAACAAGGCCCAGAATTGGTATCCCCAAGATGCAAAAAAGGCGCCCGTAAAACACCAGAACACCATGCCAGGAGGTGCCCGAAGGTCCCCAACCACGGACGCAGCCGGTGCCTAACGCGTTGCTTTCTGATTCGAAGAAAACAAGGTCCAGAATGGTATCCCCAAGATGTTAAAAAACGTGCCCGTAAAACACCAGAACACCATGCCAGGAGGTGCCCGAAGGCCCTGAACCACGGACACGGCCGGTGCCTAACGTTGCCTTCTGATTCGACGATAACAAGGTCCAGAATGGCATCGCCTAAGATGCCAAAAACCGCACCCATTTCACACCAGAACACCATGCCAGGAGGTGCCCGAAGGCTCCGTTTAACGATGCTTTTTGATTGGACGAACGCAACGGCAAAATAGTCGCTTCCTGATTCGAAAGCAAGATAGTCAAAAAATAGCACGATCCATGGACACGGTTCCTCCCACTCACCCCGCAGGGGTCGGCGTATATATATATATGAATAAATAGCTACATGTGTATATCTATATCTGTATATATATATCTATATCTATATCTATATCTATATCGATATATGTATATAGAATATGTATTTTTTAAAAAAATTATATCCATATGTACATATATATATGCATATGTGCATATATAAATAAATATATATATATATATACACATACACATAAACATTTTTTGTGTGAGTTTACATCATTTGCCATCTTTCGTTTGAACATGTTGAGTTCATTGACTTGGCGGTACATCGTGACTTTCCAAGGTTTGGAGTTGGCATCTCGTGGGACAAGGTAGGCATAGCCGGCATAGCTGCGAGTTCAGGTGTCAGTTGATAGGAAATGCCAGGGCGCAACCAACGCAACCAGCACGACAGAGACAGAATCTAGGAAATCATGGGGGATTTTCCTGCAAACCGTGCTTGATGTGTATATCACCATCAATCTTTGCACGATGCTGGTGGCAGCAGCGGTAACGATAAACGGACCAATTGAACACTTCCCATTGAAGGTAGTTGTTTTAGAATTTTGTGTTTCCATTCAAATGCAACTTCGACCGGTGACTTTCTTATTATAGTAAATCCACGAATGATCCCCACCTTGCAGTTTGTGTTATTGTGAAAAGATTCTTTGCAAACAACCATTTGAGCCTAAATAAATCGATTCCAAAGTGAAGTTGGGGGGACATCGCCTCCCTCCAAGTGTAGATCAGATCAGATAAGATGAGATCAGATCAACGTGCCATTGCTGAATCCAGAAATTTCTCTTCAAACACTGATGTGATCAGGGGCAGTTCGCAGTGGATGTTGACCTACAAGCGGTGATTGTGGATCAGAAAGGAGTCCGTGGCACAGAACTGGCGGATTTTGGATTATTCTTCTCGAATGCATGCATCTTCTCGTTGGTTGAGTCTGCCACATCTAGTGCTAATAACGCCATATAAGATCATACAAGTCCATAGCAGGCCGCATTGTCTCTGTGCCTGTTTGACAAACCAAAGTGTCCAGTCTTTTTCTCATCTCTATGTTTGCGATTGCTTTTGTCATCTTGCTTGGTGGTCATAGTCATAGTCCAGTGACTGCTGTTGTTCTCGATGCAGTTTGTTATGTTCTGCAGGGGGCCTCCTTTCACATCGCAGGTCATCATCGATGCAGTGTATTACAATAACATGAAGGCCTTGAGGCCTTGGTGCAGCTTCCCGGAGCAGATTGTTTTGGGACCCGTTAGGATGTGTTGAGAATGGAGCTGGAAGAGTCCCGTGTCACCGGCACCTGATCTTGGAATGTCAGCGTCAGCATCACATCATTTGATTCGTAGCTCAGCCTTGCCGGTAAGGGAGGCATCCAAGCAATGATCGATCTGTGTTGGCTGGACAGGTGCATAACCCACTCCGGTGATGAGCAAACTGGTGAGAGATCTGGTCTGGATGAAACTGTCTGGATAACGCACCTTGGATTTCATAGCAGGTTGGTTCCATGTGACTGCTTGGGTTGATCGCAGGGCTTCTCGCAGAAGAATTGCCCAAGTAAACTATTCTTGTGATCGATCATGTCTCTATTCTTTCGAGCTGCCACAGCTGCATTGGGAATCTCAAATCAGCCCAAGAGCTAAAATGCACTGACTCTCATTTGGTGGGAGTGACGTTCTAATTTCATTTCAGATCATCGGTGCGGCTAGATTCAAGGATGCAACGAATTCCAGAGCAGGTGGGAGCGCCCCTTGTGGGTACTATTCACTTCGCACCATCATTTTGGACACATAGATGTTACTTTTCATCCAACCATCCGAGTCATACAGTGTTTGAGTCAGTTGACCACTTGTAATTTGCAAATTTTGCAATTGTATTCTTAAATTGACACCAGTTCCCCACAGTCTTTGATCATTTTGATCCGAGCGTTTGCAGCCAATTGGATGTGTTTATGCGCGTTTGGTTTCGCTTGCAGGTGAAGATTTTTCTGTTCGTCGTCGCAGCCCATAATCGTCACAGTCTTAGCCGGAAAACGAGAAGTATGTCAAAAGGAAAATAGCTTGGAAAAGGTTCCAGACATTTGCATGGCTCGGCCAACTATGGGGCTTATCTTTCAAAGATCCCCTTACGGGTTAGAAAGCCTTTTTCAGTGCTGATGAATATGCGATATATTCACCCCGCTTCGCGTGTGGTGGCCGCCCACACCGCAGGTTTATTTCGGTCCGTGAGAGGGGCTCAGGGTGGTTTTCCCCCGTGGGGCTCCCCAAGCTAAGAATTTTCACTTTCCCCCCCCGTAGGGGCTCCCCAAGCTAGGGAATTTTCACTTTTCCCCCCCGTGGGGGCTCCCCAAGCTAGGGAATTTTCACTTTTCCCCCCTGTGGGGGCTCCCCAAGCTAGGGAATTTTCACTTTTCCCCCCCCAGGGGCTTCCCAAGCTAGGGAATTTTCACTTTTCCCCGCCGTGACAGCTTCCCAAGCTATGGAATTTTCACTTTTCCCTCCCTTGGAGGCTCTCCAAGCTGCGGAATTTCAAATAGCTAGACAACGACGCCTAGATAGTCCCCCAAATCCCGTGTTCTTTGAATGTGTTTCCATGTTTTTGCAATGGTTTCCTTCAAAGCACGGTACTTTACACTTTTGTCGCCATAAAACCGGTCGAAAACATCATGTTCGACAATGCTTCCAATTCCCTTATCTCCCCAACCGTTGAAAATACCGCTATTTACAGTGTTTTCTTCAATTTTTCCATGTGCCAATGCCGGTAGCCAACTCCAACATATATATAAAAATCCTTCCAAAACATTGTTTTTGACAGTGTTTTTCCAATGTTTCCAGTCAAACAGACGGTAATTTACACGTTTTTTGCCATAAAGGCAGTAAATCCTTCCAAAACATTGCTTTTGACAGTGTTTTTATAATGTTTCCAGTCAAACATACGGTAATTTACACGTTTTTTGCTATAACGTCAGTCCAAAACACTTGTTTTTGCAGTGTTTTCAATGCTCTGGCATCCAAAAACCCTGCAAAATCTTGCTATGTACAATGTTTTTTTCATTTTTGGCCGTTTTTCCATTGCCGGAAAGCTACCAAAATGACCCAAAATTCCATTTCAATACCCTCTTGCGCTCAGACACCCAAAAATCCTCGAAAAATGTCGAAAACACCACCGTATTCTGGTCTCGGTGCGAAACCGTTTTTGGGCCCCCCCCCCCAGCTAAAGCTGATATAGCGACTGCTATATTAACAAATGTCATTGAGCATTTAGTGTTGCTGTTGCCCCCCAATAAGCACGCCTTCACCGCCAAAGCGGTGTGGGCGGATTTCATTTGGGGCTGAACTCATTTGGAGTCTGGGTCCTGCACCATTGGACCCATGAATGATCGATGCTCAAGTCAAGAAACCTGGGGTCTTATCTCTTCCAGGCCAAGCAAGGGTGAAACCGCTCTGGTTTTCCAATCTGGCTCTTGAAATTTAGTAGAAATGAGGTGGTCACTTGCGAGACGTTTCAAATGGTGTCATCCATGTGCTGGAAGACACACAGCAAAACGTGGTGGCGTGCCTTGCCTTGGGCAGCTGATGTAGCTCAGGTGGAATTCGGTAATTCGGTAGAATTGTTTGTTCATCAGAGGCATTCAGAGGCTATAGAGAGGGGTGGTTGTGAGGTCCGATTGTTGGATAGCGGTGTCTAGATTCAATGGCAGATAGGTTGTGTAGATATGTGTTGATTCTCAGGTAAAGAGGGGAAACACAGGACGAAGACATGTGAGAATAGATTGGACGTCAAAGTACAAAGAGTGTATTTCAAGGCTTGCTTTCAACTGGCGACCCACCGTTTCCATTAATTTACATGGGAAAAGCCATTTGCAGTCAAGACGAAAGACCGTGAAACACATTTATCCGTTGGCTATGGAACTCGAATTGTAGACATGGTAAATCCCTGAGGACCTATCGAATGGAGCAGAGTCCCAAAGAGGTCGATGCAGTCTGAAGCTTAAGGTGTTCCTTTGGAATGAGGCGCTAAGTGGCTGAGAGTTTAATGGTAACTGGAATTGGTTAGAATGAGACACCGCAAGGTCAATCGCCGAATCCTTGCACCATGTTTCTATCTCGTGTTCTGTGCAGATTCAGCATGGTTCTAGCATGAAGTATTCGATATTGTTCCTTTTGAAACTGAAACCAGCAACTGAGCCACAAAGTCAACCTGGCTTTGAGGTCCTCATGATGGTGAAGTCGGATCAAGGAGATTGGAATCTGCGAGTCCTGGACTCCCCCGCTCAAGAAGGTTGCTCGACGTCTATTGAATATACAAAATGAGAGAAAGCAAAAGAGTGAGCAGTTGCATCATGTTGCATCTAATTTTGATAAGAAACTCCTTGTCCTTAGCTACTTGCCTCGAACAGAAGTGGTAGGAAACGAAGCACCAACAAATGATCGCCATGGTGGGACCACATGTCAGCAAGTTTCACCAAAACTGTTGACGATCCTTTTGTGGTTGATTTCTTGATGGGTAAAAAAATTGGTTGACCAAGTTTTAACTTGCCCTATGACTGCCTTGGCTACGCTCTTCCCAGGTAGACATTTCATGGACATCTTGGAGCCCACCATTGGAAATTTTATACGGGAGGTGATTCCTGGTGCACCAAAACGGCAGAAGGCGCAGATGTTCACTATGGCTTTTTGAGCGTGACCTCAAATCCATGAAGGACTGTGCAAAGAAACATTTTTTGGTGCGAGACAGACACACATTTGTACTTTAATCAAAGGTTTGCTGCGGTTTGCTTTGTTCCACTTTGTTCCCAGTTTCCTTTGCCACGTATTTTAGTCCAGCAAGTCATGGAATCCGTTTATCTGGGTTGATCCAAACAGGTGGCTTTTGCTATGGAAAAAGGCGCAGTGGTTGATTTGCCGCATCTTGGTGCAAAATCCTCGAGTTTCGTTGCATATTACATCAAGGCTGTCCACCCACAGCTCCACCACACCGCTCAGGCAAGCGTCCAGTCTTGGCAACGTGACCGCTGGCTTGGGCTGGGATGTGGCCAAAGGCATGGGCACCGATGTAGACCTTGTGCCTCGGATTACTGCCTCGACCATGAGCTGGCAATAGCTGGTATAGTTTTGGTATGTTTTGGTGTGCCGTTGTTGCCAGCATTTTTCTTCCAACTTGGCCACAGCCTTATAAAATCTTGTAAAGGTGATTGCATGACACAAAGGCGGAAGCTGCAAATGATGCAAATGGTAGTTATTGTGTTGATACAATATTTGGTTTTAGGATGTTTTAGGCAGTTTTGCTGCGAGTGGGCCCCAGCAGTGAGGAAGCAAGAGACAGACTTTTAACAATCAGGAAACCCATGGAAACCCGCTAAAGGAGTCGGACAGGCGACGTATCATCATGTCCTCAACTGACCTCACAAGTTGAGGATGTCTCCGTGGTGTTCTTCGGAAAAGACCCGAATCCTTTGGGAGCAGTATTCTTCGGGAATCAGGACTGCAAGTGCAAGAGCTGCGCACGAGAATTGAGGATGAAAATCTTGTTCGACAGATGACCTGGTTGACAGCACTTGATAGTTGTGGTTGTAATTCCATGAGCTTTGTTTGCCATTCAGCGAACAGATGCAGTTGGGCCAGGAGCAATGGGGTGTGAAGCACAGTGGTGACAATCTCACAGGCAGGGATGCGGTGTGAGTAAAGTGCAAAGTGTTGGCGTGTCTTTCCCGAGAAAATTGAAAGACCTTGAATACTTGTACTGACTTGTGCTCTTTGGACGATCACTTTGGCCAAGTGCACTTGGGCCGGTTCCAAAAAATCAGGAGAAGGGAGTGGCGATGATGAAGTGATCAATGTCGATTTGTCGCTGATTCCGGAACATGTGGAGCAGACCTTCGGCCTGGTACTGTAGCGGTTTGCCAGAGAATCTGAATCAAGGAATACAGAGAGTGATTTGGGTGTGTTCCAAACTTTGGCCAGTTCTGGGATCATGCTGAGGATGTTTTTCTGCGTGAACATCTACACTCCGAAGGTGACTTTTGATCAGGTTTCGAATGCCTATTGTCGAATGTGCAGTCAGGACAGGGGGCCTGGGCTGTTGATGGCTGTTGTGGGTTGGAGAATCCACTGCTTGAACGTATTTTTGACATGATGTTTCAGGAGGGGCACGTTGCCGCAGACGAAGCTTTTTGCAGACGGAATAGAACAAATCATACAGAACAGAACATCAGCATCAACTTAGGCTGTCCAATCACTGCAATGTGATTGATCTAGATGTGATGTATATTGATGTATATATATATGTATATTATGTATCTTGTAGATGTTAGGAAACAAGTATAAGTATAATATAAATTAAAGGGCTCCGCCCCCTGCCGCCGACCCCTGGGCATATCTCCCATTGAGCAAAACAGCAGGGCCCTGAAGGACGGACCGAGCCTCCGGGCAACGGCTCCCACTGCCTAACGTTGCTTTCTGAACCTACAAGAAAACTAGCTCTCTTCCAGCCGTCAAGGCTCACAAACGGCGCCCTCGCCACAGCAAAACAGCAGGGCCCTGAAGGACGGACCGAGCCTCCGGGCAACGGCTCCCACTGCTTAACGTTACTAACGTTGCTTTCTGAAGCTACAAGAAAACTAGCTCTCTTCCAGCCGTCAAGGCTCACAAACGGCGCCCTCGCCACAGCAAAACAGCAGGGCCCTGAAGGACGGACCGAGCCTCCGGGCAACGGCTCCCAAACTAGCTCTCTTCCAGCCGTCAAGGCTCACAAACGGCGCCCTCCGCCACAGCAAAACAGCAGGGCCCTGAAGGACGGACCGAGCCTCCGGGCAACGGCTCCCACTGCCTAACGTTGCTTTCTGAACCTACAAGAAAACAAGCTCTCTTCCAGCCGTCAAGGCTCACAAACGGCGCCTCCGCCACGCCCAAACAGCAGGGCCCTGAAGGACGGACCGAGCCTCCGGGCAACGGCTCCCACTGCCTAACGTTGCTTTCTGAACCTACAAGAAAACTAGCTCTCTTCCAGCCGTCAAGGCTCACAAACGGCGCCCTCGCCACAGCAAAACAGCAGGGCCCTGAAGGACGGACCGAGCCTCCGGGCAACGGCTCCCAAAACTAGCTCTCTTCCAGCCGTCAAGGCTCACAAACGGCGCCTCCGCCACAGCAAAACAGCAGGGCCCTGAAGGACGGACCGAGCCTCCGGGCAACGGCTCGCACTGCCTAACGTTGCTTTCTGAACCTACAAGAAAACTAGCTCTCTTCCAGCCGTCAAGGCTCACAAACGGGCGCCCTCGCACAGCAAAAACAGCAGGGCCCTGAGACGGGAACGAGCCTCCGGGAACGGCTCCCAAATAGCTCTCTTCCAAGCAGTAGGCTCCACAAAACGGGGCCTCCGCCACAGGCAAAACAGCAGGGCCCGGAAAGGACGGGACCCGAGCCTCCGGGCAAAGGACCCAGTGCCTAACGTTTGATTCTGAACTACAAGAAAAACTAGCCTTCTCTTCCAGCAGTCAAGGCTCACAACGGCGCCCTTCGGGGGGCCCCCCCCCCCCCCCCCCCCCCCCCCCCCCCCCCCACAGCAAAACAGCAGCGCCCTGAAGGACGGACCGAGCCTCCGGGCAACGGCTCCCAAACTAGCTCTCTTCCAGCCGTCAAGGCTCACAAACTGCGCCTCCGCCACGCCCAAACAGCAGGGCCCTGAAGGACGGACCGAGCCTCCGGGCAACGGCTCCCAATGCCTAACGTTGCTTTCTGAACCTACAAGAAAACTAGCTCTCTTCCAGCCGTCAAGGCTCACAAACGGCGCCCTCGCCACAGCAAAACAGCAGGGCCCTGAAGGACGGACCGAGCCTCCGGGCAACGGCTCCCAAACTAGCTCTCTTCCAGCCGTCAAGGCTCACAAACTGCGCCTCCGCCACAGCAAAACAGCAGGGCCCTGAAGGACGGACCGAGCCTCCGGGCAACGGCTCCCAGTGCCTAACGTTGCTTTCTGAACCTACAAGAAAACTAGCTCTCTTCCAGCCGTCAAGGCTCACAAACGGCGCCCTCGCCACAGCAAAACAGCAGGGCCCTGAAGGACGGACCGAGCCTCCGGGCAACGGCTCCCAAACTAGCTCTCTTCCAGCCGTCAAGGCTCACAAACGGCGCCTCCGCCACAGCAAAACAGCAGGGCCCTGAAGGACGGACCGAGCCTCCGGGCAACGCTCCCACTGCCTAACGTTGCTTTCTGAACCTACAAGAAAACTAGCTCTCTTCCAGCCGTCAAGGCTCACAAACGGCGCCCTCGCCACAGCAAAACAGCAGGGCCCTGAAGGACGGACCGAGCCTCCGGGCAACGGCTCCCAAACTAGCTCTCTTCCAGCCGTCAAGGCTCACAAACGGCGCCTCCGCCACGCCCAAACAGCAGGGCCCTGAAGGACGGACCGAGCCTCCGGGCAACGGCTCCCACTGCCTAACGTTGCTTTCTGAACCTACAAGAAAACTAGCTCTCTTCCAGCCGTCAAGGCTCACAAACGGCGCCCTCGCCACAGCAAAACAGCAGGGCCCTGAAGGACGGACCGAGCCTCCGGGCAACGGCTCCCAAACTAGCTCTCTTCCAGCCGTCAAGGCTCACAAACGGCGCCTTCCCGAGCCTCCCAACGGCTCCCACTAACGTTGCTCTCCTTCTCAGCCGTCAAGGCTCACAAACGGCGCCTCCGCCACAGCAAAACAGCAGGGCCCTGAAGGACGGACCGAGCCTCCGGGCAACGGCTCCCACTGCCTAACGTTGCTTTCTCAACCTACAAGAAAACTAGCTCTCTGAGCTGTCTTCCAGCCGCTTGTTGCTTCCTGGCTTCTTGTTTCTTGCTTCTCTGACCTGTCTTCCAGCCGCCTGCCTAACGTTGCTTTCTGAATCGACAAGAAAACTAGCTCTCTGACCTGTCTTCCAGCCGCTTGTTGCTTCCTGGCTTCTTGTTTCTTGCTTCTCTGACCTGTCTTCCAGCCGCTTGTTGCTTCCTGGCTTGTTGTTTCTTGCTTCTCTGACCTGTCTTCCAGCCGCTTGTTGCTTCCTGGCTTCTTGTTTCTTGCTTCTTGCCGCTTGTTGCCTGTAATTGCTTCTTGCTTCTTGCTTCTTCTTTCTTGTTTTCTTCCTTCTTGCCCTTGCTGTTTGTAATGACTTCTCTGACCTGTCTTCCAGCCGCTTGTTGCTTCCTGGCTTCTTGTTTCTTGCTTCTTGCCGCTTGTTGCCTGTAATTGTTTCTTGCTTCTTGCTTCTTCTTTCATGTTTTCTTGCTTCTTGCCCTTGCTGCTTGTAATGACTTCTTGGCCCTTGCTGCTGGTAATTCCTCCTCTGACGCGCTCCCCCTGCTGTCGGCAGGGGTCGGCGGATTAAGGGTTAGGCGTGCTCGTGGTATAATTATACATTTGCATATTTTCATATCGATATCCCGCCTGATGTTGATTGCTGTCTCAAGGCACATGCACCCACTGGACACGTGATGCAGTTGGCAAATTTGGACCTGCCAGGATGGTTCAGAGCTGGCCCGTTACGTTCTTCGAGAGGCAGGTGTTCACTTTGGTAAGGCAGTGGAAGCCACAGATAATTTATTTAAGATGATCAAGATATTATGGTAATGGTTGAATCGGGGCAATTCCTTTCGTGTAGTCCTCTTTGAAGGGCTTGGAAACTAATTGGGATGAAATCATTCCCAATATCAAGGGGATCATTAGGACTCCTGCCAACATCCAAAAAGTACAGTTGAAGGTGCTTGACCCAGCAGGAGGCAGTCATCGATCTCAGTCATTCCAGTTTGACAGACTGTCATTTGCCCAAGGCTCATCTCTAATCATCGGAAAAGCCGCGATCACCAGCCATGGGGGATCGAGTCTAGGGGATTCTCTATGTACATCCAAGATGTTCAACATAGGGAATGGTCAAAAGTAGCAAGACAAGGTAATGTGTGAACTTCTGTGAACATCACTGTCATAGTTTTCTGGACAGTTTCTCCGTTAACACCCGTATGATTCGTTATTATCGTCCTGTGACTGATGGCCGTATCTCCTTTTGCAAATGATCGAATCTGGGGTTGGAACCACTGGAACTGCCAGAAGCGCTGGCAGTGGGCAATGACTGGCATGACTGGAGGCACGTGGAGAGACTGGCTTGCTGATTGCTCGCCTCTTCCGCGAGCCCGGCAGCCGCTGGGGCTTCCAGGTGGGATTTGGCATGGCTCAGGGGATGCAAGGGATGCAAGGGATGCAAGGGATGCAAGGGATGCAAGGGATGCGATAGAGCGTATCATCCCACATACTTATTGCACTTATGATATCTTGCAATAACGTGTGTATAGATAAACGGTGCCACCTTGCTTTTGCCAAATGGCCATATTTGCATGCGCGACTGGAAGAAACAACCACTTTTTGCTAAGATTACCCACAGGACGAGGGGTTTTCCAATGAAGGGGAAGATTAGGACTCGCTGTATATCTTACATAAAGGGATTAAGATCTCACTCCAAACTCGCCACAAAAGTGAAAAAATTGGGAAAAGGGTGACACGCATGAATTCCGCAGAGGGTTCATTTTTCCGACTGACTTTCCCAAAAATTCGTCTTGGGATATACAGACGCACAGATGTACCAAGGTGGTAAAACACTGTGCCTGTGCAGTGAAATGAGCCTCCTTAGGACGTTAAACCATTCCATTCTGGGCAAACCCTCAGTCCTGCCCGTAAAGTTACAGCACATCACCTTACTGGTGATTCTGTCCTCCCTTCCAGGCCATTGGCACATTCTGCCGCGGAAAGACGTGGAAAGATTCTGTGGGAGTACCCTGGCAGCCTTTTCTATCTTTTGCTTGGCATTTAAGTCCAAATCAAATGGCGCTCTTTCTGTTGCACTTGATAGAAGGAACTTCATGCCCACCTGATCACACGGTTATGAGTTGCAATAGACATACGCTGTAATTTACTCGCACACACACATATATATATATATATCTATCACACCCAGAGGAGCACTTGGGAGCTGTGGGAGATGAGATACCCTACACCATCGAAACGTCCCAGGAAATGAGACCTTTGGTCCAGCAATCAGCACGACAGATCCAGATGATCACCATGGCGTCACTTGGATGCGTGGTTATGTCCGTTCTTCCTTCAGAATTGTATGCTTAGGCAACTTGTATACCTAAAACCGCTAGAACTTCACAGAATGTAGCGAGGAATCTATTCGATTTGGAGCATTCAAGTTTGCGCCATCACAATTCAGCAGGAACAACGGGTGGGGGAATCGAGACGCGTGTTCTCGACAAGGTCAACTGCAGATCTGGGACATTCTGCTGCAGCAGGCAGCCGTGACCAGCCCATCATGGCCACTGCCAGGGACTGAATGGAGGAGGTACAACTCTGCACTGGTACATCAAGAGATACCATGAAAGGGAATGGGTAACAGTCAACGTGATGCCCACCCAAATGTGACGGTGTTACAGAAAGAAACGACCAGACTAAACTTTTCAACATACGGTAACCTACGTCTCTGATGTGGCAGGTTTCGTGGGTGCTGAGAAGCCGTGAGATCCACACGTTTTTCTCCCATGATTTTTTCCCGGGCTCTTCACTGCCTAGATTTCTTTCAGCTGGCCTGGCATTGAGGTCGTCCAAGAGAAACCACAGAAGCTTGGCAACTCCAGCCCTTACGGATTGATGTTAATTGCCGTCAACTGTTTCCAAATGCATTGGCACAATATGGCACAATAGGATTTCATTTCTTCCAGTAAGTTTGATTTCCCGGGGAGTGTAAAGTTCCAAGCTAAGAGCTCACTTTCCCATTATATATATATATATATGTATATTATACATATATAATATACATAATATATATATATAGTATTATATATATATATATTATACATTATACATTATAATACGTACATACATAAAAATATTAAATGCAATTTTGCCTCCCAGATCTTACCCCAGCTTCAGGAAAGAATGCTGCTTGCAGTGAACTGGAAGCACTTCTCCGCTGGAAGTCTCTGGGTGAGAGGCTGTTCGAGCTTTTCACAGCTCAACAGCACACCGGGCCGATCCCAAACCGTGGTCGTTTCACCGGAACCAAAGAGTTCCAGATGGCTTGAACGAGACCAACTTTAAACGTCGTACACGTGGTACAGCAACAGTCCGCAGACTGGAGGAGTCCAGGAGATTCGGACGTCATTCTTTGGATGCATCCCGAAATTGGATGGAATTGGTAGACACCCAACAAAACCAGAAAACCTGACAAGCAAGTGATGTTTGATCTAAAAATCAAATCAATTTGGCGGTTCGCAAATGTGTTCATCCACACATAATGGTTTTCACATTTTGCCCGTCATGGATCTAGCAGGTGCCACATTTGTACGACCTGGTGCCTCGTTTGCAACGGGAGGTTATCACTTTGGGGATGGTTTTTTCCGTTTTTTCCCATCCGCATAGTGGGTCCTCAAATGGATTGAAAATGAAACAATGTGAGTCCTATGTGACTCAATGTGATATGATTCCTCTATCCATGTGGGTCCACTTTGCAACAACACCGCTTTTAGTCGGGACCTGCATGCACCTGAACCTTCACTGGCCACTAGCGGGTGAAGGTTGTAGTAGTGCAAGTCAGTCTTGAACCAGGCAAGTGATGCTGCAATCTCGTTCCATCCCATACAGCGTTGATCAACCATTAATCTGATGCCTGGAAAGGCTTGAAACTCCTTGAACATGAATGTCTACCTTGGATGCAAAACTGAATCGATCCCTGCTTCGTTACTATGTTCCTGCTCTGCATCCCTAACACATTCCTCCCGCTGAGTGATGTTTCAGGGACTTCCATCCGGATCTTGCTTGACCCTGGACCGGTCCTTCGATTTTCGGCCTCATATCAGCCAGCATCACGTGACCAAGGTGGTGACTCATCGTAGATCGCCATGTGTTCGCACCTTGCACTGGTTTGGGCCTTTGGAATTGTGGTCACATTCAGTGTGCGGACTGAGCTAGAAAGGACACATTCTAGAATCTAGGTGGTGGTTTTCCTTTCCAAGTGTCTATGATGTTTTTGGCATGAATCGAACAGGTCTTACAAACTAGGCTTTCTTGGAGGCTTGGTGTGGGAGGTCCCCCACATTCTGTGACAGGATGACTCAACCTCGCTTCACCTTCTTACCCATTGGCTGGCCACTCCCATGTCATTATGCTTTCCCAGCTAGAGGATCCTCATGAGTTTGACATGTTTGACCCACACAACAGTTGGAAGACCCAAAAGAGATTGTTGAGCATTTCAACATTTCTCTGTCTGCGCATACTCCTCAAAGACAGACCACGTGACCACATGGTGATGTGTCTTGAAAGCGAGCTCATTTTCTTCATGGAAACATATGGACACTACAATTTTGTTCGAGTAATTTTTGGTGCCCGTGAGACAATTCAGGCCTATGGGAGCTGCTGTTTTGGACAAGGAGGTGGTCTTGCAGCGAATTGTCTTCGGGACCAGAGAGGCAGAAAAGTGCCTGTGGAAACCGGAGTTGGTTCCAAATTTCTTGACCCCTTTCAAATGAGTTGTTTCAACAAGTGCTCTTGTTCCCAGCAATTTCCGAGTAAGGAGAGGATTTTGTGGAAACGTGGAAACTGTGTTTAAGTTTACATATCAAGTAAACGTGCTCTGCTTCTTTCATGCCAAGAAACCGGAACTCTGAGAGGCCCTTGTGATTGCAGCAGACCATGTCTCAGTTTGGCTCGGCCCAACTTTTTTTGTTTTCTATCTTATCACGTTGTCTTTTCATTGTTCGCATTAGCATTGCTCTGTTATCTTTCTTAGTCATCAATTGTACTCTCTTGAAATTCAAGCATCTGGGAAACTGTGAATGAGGCAGCTTGGGTGGCTGGGTCTGTGTCAGAAACCTGCGGCTGGTGAGGTTCAGCTGCCTTGGAAAGCACCTCTGACAGAAGAGAGTCGGCCTCAGTGCACCTTTCCCAGGACTGTCATCTGAGAAGCTCAGTCAGAACTACAGACATGGAAATTGAATCGTGCAATTGTCATTTTGAGATTTGACCCGTATCCATTTTGAATCATTTTGAGATTTTCATATTTCTCAAATGTGAAACATTGGCTGGTGTGAGGTGTCAAGTCGGCCAGACATCTCTGCCACAGGCCGGAGAAAAAGCAATCATACGGCCTGCAGCCATATGGAGCCGTGAAACACCGTTAGCTTTGATGGTTTTGGCAATGATCTCGGAAGGGGTCGAACTGAAAAACAGACTCCCAAACGTACTTCTTATGGCAGCCTAGCAGATAGAATATTCCATGCAGATACGAGCCCCCACTTAGAATATTGACACTTAGAATATTCCAAAGCTGGATCAATCCCTTCCACGCGCATGGAAATCTTGCTCTTTTTATTGATATCTTCAGTGTCGAATATTCTAGGTGCAGGAAAACTCATGTAGATAGAATACGGTGGAAATCTTGACCCGGTCCTTCCAAACAAGGCTTTGGAATGTTTTGGAGCTCAAGGAAGAACAGTGTTTCTGAAGGAGAGACCATTGAAAGAAGAAAATTGCCAACCAGCTTTCCATGACTTCCATTGAATGCCAGGATGAACGGCGGGTTGTAAAGCAAGAGCCTCGCGCATGGGAATGCTGGACAGCTCACTTAATCCACGCAAGTCGGAGTGGAACTATAGTACTATAGAAAGTGATGCTGTCTTTCATTTGCTTCACCCCAACGAATCAAACTTTCTCGTGTCAAACTGTCAAACTGTCAAATGGATCTGCCGATTCTTGGAGTTTGTCCCATGGTTTGGCCCCATTCCGAGGCCTTCTGTTCGTGTGACACAATATATGAAACACGAGGGCCTCATGAAGTATTTGACCTGCAGCCCGCTTGCGCCTCAGTGTGGTCTTTGAACTCAGGAAGAATCGAATCTGTATACTTCTGAAGTATAATAATAATGTTTGATGCCATTCATGAGCACATTGGTCAATCATCACCAATTGTTTTCCTTGTTCGAAATTTTGTTCTTGGAGTGTACCCAGGGTTTGTTGACCCAAGGCAGACCTATTTGCTGACAGCGACTCAAGCGGAAGGGTCAGGCCTGACTCTGCCCTGCTAAGGACGTTTCCTTAGAGCCTGACCAATGGCATAGTTGAACATCCGGGAGCTCATCATTGTTGATCATACGCTCACTTTCATTTCCCATGATAATCAGTTCACCCACAATTGAGGGGACAGTTACCCGATGCCTCCTTGATCAAATAATCAAGCCTTCCCCTGACCATCAGCATGGGCGAACACTATATGCAGGCGACGTGCTGCTGTTCTGCGTCGGTGACTGGCAGGCAATGTCAGTGCAGCCACATTGCAAGGCTTATGGTTGAGTCATCACTATCTTGCCAGGATGCCGCCAACGCAGAATGCCGTCAGATTCTCGGAATGCTGGGCTTTGTGGAATCCTGCAAGATTTGTAGAACAAGAAGTTGCTGATGTACTTGCTCACCCACTGTCACCCAATGGTAATCCAACAAGCTGATTCGACTAAATGAAAGCAAGCACACTGAGTAAGCCTTAAGGTAGAAAGTGGCCGTTCATTGTTTCTCCATTTCTACAGTGATAAGGATGGTTCTGGGCGTGAACTCAAGAAATCAAATGATATGAAAGAAATTGAAAGAATCACTAAAAGCTGAGGAAAATTGATCTGACTGGAAGTTCGGCTGCCAAGGGCCAGACAGGCACCTGGAAGCTCCTGGCCTTCCCGCTGGGTGCTGCTGGATCAGTTTCTCTCTCAGTTGCGCGGCCTTTCTTAGGATGCGTCGTGGGCACAAAGACCTTTTTCCTTGGTGGAGAATCTCCTTGCATAAAAGCAAACATGGCCGGAAACAAACCCAACTTGGCGGATAAAGAGTAGGGGTGAGTCATTGACTTGGGGCATAGGTGTTGTAGTGTGTCTTCGCAGAAAATTGTTTTCTGCACAAGAATCATTGAACGACCAGCTTGCTGGAGAAGAGCCATTGAACCACCAGCTGAAAGTCTTGAATCTTCAACGACATTAAAACATAAACTAAGCCTCCTACTGCGAGGTGGTGGGAATCTACTGTCTGGAAGCAGCGTAGGCGTGGCCGTGTCTTCAGGTAGCCAGGCTCTTATTGAACATTAAACTTTAAACTTTCCACGGGGTTTCACTACATGACATACCTGTGAGGTGAAGTCCGCTGAGAGTTGATTCACTCAATCCTTTTTCTTAATCTTTTTTTCATTGCTATCATTGCGGAAGGTGCTCATCTCTGGGACGTGGAAGCGGGCAGCCTTGTAAGAGAGTTCCCCTCAGGCCAGAGGAAGTCGCACGGAGCACAGGTCCGGAGATCTGGGACCCTCCACCTGGGGATATTCCGATATTCCATGTCGTTCCCATTTTTGGACAGAGGAGGGTTACGATGAGGTGTGAGGCCTGCAGTTCCCATTGGGAGGCGATTTTACGACGACTGCTGTGGCATCCATGAGTGCTTGTCTCAGGATACTCAGCAGTGTGCCTTCGTTCCTGTTGTCGTTCCAAGGTAGTTCCCCTGAACTCTTTGCAACCTCTGGCAGCGATGGGCATTGTCGCGTTTGGGATATGCGTACAGGCCGAGATTCTGATTGTTGTTGGTCACCACTTCATTTGGTGCACCCAAATAGTATGGCAAGCCGAGGAGGTGTCTTGGAATTGAATTCTGACTTCGCCCTCACCCATCACATCGAAGTTAATCATGAAGTGACTCAAATAGATCCCCAATGCAATGTTGGCTTTTTGAACCTGTCAGTACCTGTCTGTACCTGTCAGGTGATGTGGTCTTTGACTGGGACTGCCATCAAGGGCCTGCCTCCTGTGTAGCCTTTGGACCAGGTGCTTTCTTTGATCCCACACTCCAAATCATCCGCCGGAAGTAAATCAATAAGTCACAGAAGTGTATAAGTAAGAGTCAGTAAGAGTCAGTAAGAGTCAGTAAGAGTCAGTAAGAGTCAGTAAGAGTCAGTAAGAGTCAGTAAGAGTCAGTAAGAGTCAGTAAGAGTCAGTAAGAGTCAGTAAGAGTCAGTAAGAGTCAGTAAGAGTCAGTAAGAATGTGATTTTTGAGATCTCCACTGGAGTTCATTGGTTCATCACTGGCCCAGTATCCCAGTAGTTGAATGACCAGGCGACCTCCTGGCGTCTGGTGGAGCCGATAGTGGCATCATGCTTCGAGAACTCAGGCGCTGAGCGGCGCTGAGGGTTTGGACATGGACTGCACCCTGGGACCGAACAGAAATTCCACTTGGTTGCAAGATGCTGTAAGATGTTGCAAGATGATGTAAGAATCCAGTAGCTATTGGCAATGATTGACGATCATTGACACGAGTGTGGCTCATCGACTCATCGTGTTCTGTTGCTTCAGCAGTCAGGTTACTCTGAGGATTACCGCAGTGAGTACCTGAAAACGCTGCAGGCATCCAAATCGCTCCCTTTGTTCATGCAGCTGGGATGGTGCGACTCTGAATCCTTCAGCTGTTCCAACTTTGCCACACCTGCTGCTTGTACAACTCGTCGAAAAGATAGGAAAAGTCTGTCTAAGTCTGTCTAAGTAGTATTAAGTGGTACAGGATTCCTTTCCTCATGGCATCCATAAATGTGACCAGATGCGACCAGTATCAGGTGCCCACTTTGGATCTGTGAGCCACCTGGCTTGGTCCCCCTTCAGCCGATTGCCTTGGACCGAGTGATTTTGAGGAAGTGACTTGGGCCATAGTGGGAAAATCTTGGACTAAATCGTAAGTTACAAAGACAAGTGATAGCCTGCTTATTATGGCCGTTCTGGATCTTCGAGTTTGTGGAGCAAGCTTTATTCATAGATTTCTTGATGCAATGCACACCTGTTGCTGCAACACCTTCGCAGCTGCTTTATTTCAAACACCAGAATAGAAGCAATCCAAGATGGAGGCTGGCAGCTGGCAATGCCGTTTTCAGAGTTGCTTGCAGCATGGCTGAGCATATCGTGTGCAGACATATTTTGTTGGGAAGCACATGAGAAGTGCCTGTCTCTGAAGTCTGTAACCAAGCCAGCAAACACACAGTTTTGCCAGCGCTGGAGCGACCAGGGCTACGGCTACGAGGACGATCGGGATCCAATGAATGGACTTCTTAGTCCCGGAGCTCCCGGAGTCACTTGGAGCAGCACACGGTATTGATCCCGATACATGACGTCACATCCTCCCTGTCACTTACCCTAGGCCATGCTGGGGGTGCTGGAAATGTTTCATTTTACTGAGATCTGACCGGTGTGACTTCCCCCTGGGTAGAAGCTTCTGAAAAAGTGGCAAGACTTCAAGAGGTCTTTGAATCTCAAAACCAGATGACTGCCGATAAATGGTTGTCAAGAGCTTTCGTCTTTCTAATCTGCATTTTGAGCATGTAATATATAATATATATACATACATACCACACTTACATACACTTACTATGTATTTCAATTCTTGAGAACTGCTAGATTGCTAGATGCTGGTAGCTTGGTTTTGCATGGTGTTGCAATGTTTTCCCTGCTGAGGTGACCTCTGAGGACACCAGGGTAGGGAAATTTATCGGCAAACACTTTGAAGATGTTTGGTGAGGGGGGGGGCATAGAGGCATAGAGAATACAAAGATATACAACGTATACAGACTGGTGGCTGCCAGGAGTTCTCGAGTCGATGTTGATCATCAGTTGCTACAATTTCAGTCTCAGTCATAAGTTAAAGCTTCTGTATGTTTCTGCTTGTGTATGTTCTGTGTGTTTCTACATATATATATACACACACACACCTACATATAGATACATACCTACTGTATACTTGTGGTGAGGTTGCCTGTATCGCCAGGAGATCCACATTGACAGTGAACTGGTGACCATCCTCTCTCATCGCAGCCGACGCCGCCTTCGAGAGCTTCAAACCAGCTGCAAGGCTCATCCAGTTGAGCCCAGGACCCCAGAACTGGGACACTGGATGATAATGCACCATGCTCAATCCAGCCCCTTCCAATTTCTTGGTCATCTGTTATTTTTGTAACATGTCAAGAGTTGTTTCTAACCAGAGCAAAAACTCTTGACTTCTTGGTTGAGAAGCGCACCCGGGCCAAATCTTAGTCTTTTTCAATCTAAATCTTTGACAATTGTATATTCTAAACTCATCCTTTGTTTCTTCCTTTAAACTCACGGAACTTCTTCCTTTCTTCCTCTTTGAAATTTTATCCTTTACGTCCCGCTCTCTTCATTCGTGTCGCCTGCTCCTCATGCTTAATTCCAATACCTGCAGAACTGATTCCTGTCCCTCACTCTCCCCAACGGATTTGCTTTGTCGGGGCTAAACTTGGACCCCTTCGTGCTCTCTATGTCTTGCAATTTGGCTGTTTTCAACAGAAATCTGTTCATTCCAAACGCTGTGGTTCAGGCACGAAGGTTAAGGGGCAAACAGAAAAAGGCTGTAGCATCGGAATCTCAATACTTTTTGTTGGGTCAAAGGTTCAGAGAGTTAAACAGCTAGGCGTTGTCATGCTGTGTCCTCTTGGGTGTTGCGTGACCCCCTAGATATTCATGCGGTAAAGCGAAAACACTTAGAACACTGAATTGGATGGTTGGCGCGCTCCAGAACTGGCCTACGGATCCTGTCATCCCGGGTCAGTTTTTCTCTTGTAAGTAGCTCCTTTGGGCCAGGTGGCGGCACGACTGGACAGAGCAAAGCAGGTGGTCTATGTCACAGGCACGCAAGAAGCCATCAAGGCACTGTTGGGCTGGGGAACCCTTCGAAAGTATGTGGTATATTGTGGTATGGGAATGCATGGGATTTGATTTCATATTCAGCCCATCCGATGACAGAGTACCACAAACTAGAGTCCGTGGAGCATTTTATTGTGGAGAATTTGAAGGTGAGTCTTTGCCATTCTCTTTTGGGTTCTGTTTTTTTTGGTGCAACGAGCCAACAGTCACACGTGAACCTTGTCTCTTGGAGGCAGCAAGGCAAGCAATCGAAAGCCTCTCAGGTGCGGTGCAGCCAACCCTGACAGGAAGCACACAAGCGGACACAAAGCGGACACAAAGCGGACATTGTGTCAACATAAAGTCGGTATGTCTCCATCGGGCATACCCAAACTTCACTGAGCATCACTGAGCGGATAATTATGAATGCACCATATCCAAAATAATGGGACAAAACTAATGGTCCTTAGGGACGTCTCTATGCAGGGTGCAAGAGGATGCCTTTGTGCTAGTAGGGATCGGGTGAGGCAAGATCAGAAGGTGCTGTAAGCACAATGAGACACAATCTAGACACTAGACACTCACCCATTGCCAGATTCTTGCTTGTTGGAGGTCCAAAAAAATCAGTACCGTTGGCAGTGGGGCGCTGAGAGAAAGGTGAAAGGCGAGAGTGGATCACCTTGCCTGCATTGTATTCTAAGCTCCGAAGATATGCCAACAAGTGGCTATAAACGCCCGTTGGGACATGTACATATGGCAGAATTAGTACTCCAGAAACACACATCTATTCTATCTATCTTGATCTTGTCTATGATAATCTAAATCCAAATCATAATCGAAACAGATATCTGTATTCAATAGACACACACATATTGAACACATAGTTTCTATGAGTTTCCTTGGGTTCTGATTGGATTCCGTTGAGGTCTGGGCGGAGCTGATGCGCACCCGGACCATGTCCTTGGAGGATCTTAGCCACCAGCTGGGTGGACTCACTGAGGAATCGCAGGTCTCAGTCGCCTGGGTTCAGGACACGGCAACTTGGGGGATGGTGCTGGAGACGAGTTTTTTTATGTTTGATTTGAGACTAAACCTAGATGATTTCGATACATACTGTATAATATATGTGTATAATATATATATATATGTATATTTATGTGTATATATATATACACATCTTATACACAAATAAGTATGTATATGTATAATTACACATATTCGGGTGATGCTGCGTGTACATTTTGCTTTCATCGTTTTGGCCTCGGGACCCATTGCCCTTTCCTGGAGCCCGCATATATAATTTCCGTAAGACTTCCGGATTTTGGATCCATTCTTGCGTCAAGAATATTACGTCACATTCGAAGGCCAGTTGGCCTTCTACCAGGATTCTACCATGTTACATAATTCCGTGTTAGAATAACTCTACTACACCAACACACCCGAAAACCATCCGAAGCCCCGCAAAAGATATATTCCTCACAGCTCTTTGGCTGCTTGTGAAGGAAAAGAGTGGTTGCCGGCTTCACATTGAGCGTGGCAGCTGTGAGGTGTGTTGGGACTGGGAAGCTAGATGAACAACTCCCAAGAATTGAACTTTGGAGGTCTTGAGATGTTCGATCCATCCTGGGCAACATTGCAGACTATTACAGATGCAGTTTTTGTTGGCAATTCCAGATAGTTGATACTCACTTGCTTTGCACTTGTTGCTCCTGTTGAAGGGCACATGGGAAGCCCAATAAGACTCCACTGAAAATCCAATTTCAATGGGACTTCCCCGAAAGCGACGATTTCTTTGCTCGCAATTTTGGGTCCCCACTGTAAGCTCCAAGGGGTGACCATAACCTCATTTCCGAGCCTCTGGACAGGTGAGGATTTTTGGTTCCAAGGTAGGAACTGAAGTGGCAAGCAAACTAGTGGACGACGCTTGGCTTGGAGATGCAAGCTGAAGCCTTGCCACCCCTGCAGATTTTGTGATTCAGGACATATCCTGACATGCTGAGTTTTTCAACAGAGGAAGTGCCTGACGGACCTTTTCAGCAGTTTCAATTTGATGACGGGCCTCCCAGCACCTCACAGAGCGGTGGCCAACCGCTATGATTGAAACGAAAGTGCTAGGATGCTTTTTGATGTAGTGGGGGCTAAAAATCCTTTAAACCATCCATTTCTGTACAATTGATACTGTCCTGTTTTGCTTTCAAGAGGCTTGGCGAGCTTAATGTCCAGTGGCAACCCACACTATACTTCCACTTTGTCCATGGGCAAAGATTCTCATTTTCAAGCAGAACTTTCACAAAACCGTGGGTGGACCGTCGAGTGTGCAGAAAATCCCCTGAGGATATGGCTCCTCTTTGCTGTGAAGAGACTGTTCCAGTTCAAGATGTTGCGTCTTTGACATCTCCGGTGCTGCAATCGATTGCACATGCCCCTGGGCACCAATCTTGTGATGTCATTGAAAACAATAGTATATATGATATACATATATATATATTTATGTTACATGCATATGTATATGTATTGCATATATATATATATTTATACACATGCATATGTATATGTATTGCATATATATATATATACACATACATATGTATATATATATAGATAAACGTATAGATGTAGACTAAGGTAGATTTCTTCCCAGAATCTTCCTGAATGCGGTCAGAATCAAACCGTTTCCGAGTACGACGATACTAACGAAGCCAGGCTTGCGCTGCAACATTTCGTGTGCAAAGCTCCTTGGCAACTGCAAGTCGTGGTGTTGAGTGGTCTCAGCACCTCTTCTCCCAAACTTTTCTGCCAATCAGATAGTACTCGCTGGTTGCTTCCCCAAGTGTCGCAAGGGAGTTAAACAATGTTAAACATATTAAAATGGTCATATTGTCATATTGATCGCTACCCTCTCTGCCACGGTCCCGTGGATTCCATCCCTTTTCCCATGTCGAGCATGAAGGCTCCAGCATTGTGGTGCTTGGCCTTGC